GGAAGGGAAGGAGAAAGGGGAGGAAAGGGAAGGGGAGGGGAGGGAAGAGGAAGAAAAGGGAGGGGAAGGGGAGGGAAGGGAAAGGGAGGAACGGGGAAGAGAAGAAAGAAAAATAAAACAAATCCTATTTCCTCGCTCTCTATCCCAATGAGGTAGAAACAAAATCCTGTATTCTCAGAGCTTGACTGGCTCTGATTCAACACCACCCCAACCATGTTATACATGGGAAAGAGGTACAGAGAAGGAAAAGGACTTCCTTCCTTTACTTCAGGACATTCAGAAAGTCCAGTTCCTTAATGCCTAGGCCTGTGTTTTCTCTAATGTATCTTGGCCCCTCTCTGCAGTGAAGTTTTAATCAAACTCCACCAGGCAGAGAGCCTTGGGGTGTGTTTGCCCAATTCACTGGCAAATATTTGTTTTTTCTTTAGGACCTCAGCCCTTGTTTTTCTATGCTGGTTGAACACAAAGAGATGTCAAAAACAGAATCCTCATTCTCAGCCAATATAATTTCCTTCCGTCCCTCCCTCCCTTCTCTCTCTCTCTCTCTCTCTCTCTCTCTCTCGACTCCCTCTCTCACCCAGGTTGGAGTGCAGTGCTGTGTCCTTGGCTCACTGCAACCTCCACCTCCCAGGTTCAAGTCATTCTCCTACCTCAGCCTCCTGAATAGCTGGGATTACAGGTGTGCTTCACCATGCCTGGCTAATTTTTGTATTTTTAGCAGAGACTGGGTTTCTCCATGTTGGACAGGCTGGTCTTGAACTCCTGACCTCGAGTGATCCACCCATCTCGGCCTCCCAAAGTGTTGGGATTACAGGCGTGAGCCACCATGCCCTGCCACAGCCAATGTAATTTCATTTCTGAGTTTTTTCAACTAAGACAGAGTTTCTCAGCCGTGGCACTGTTGGCTTCTGGGGCTGAATCTTTCTCCAGGGTGGAGTTGTCTTATGCATTGTTGGGTGTTGAGCAGCCTCCCTGGCCTCCACCTACCAGATGCCATTAGTGTCCTTGAGCATCCTTGTCCCCAGTTGTGGCACCTCAGAATGTCTCCAGCCACCAAATATGTCCCCTGGGTGAGCACTGCTGGACTATACAGACGCTTATGACCACACTGTGATTCAGTCCCTTTTCCTACCTAAGAGTGCGAATCTGTGCATCTGAGTCTGTGAATCTGTAATCCCTGCTGTGTGGCTTTGGACAAGGGACTGAATCTGTCTGTGCCTCAGTTGTCTTATCTGAGAAGTGGGGGGCTCATTAGAACACCCCATAGCTGAATATTTGGACACAGGAACTGAGATCATTGCTGTTGCCTCTGTGTGGCTGCAGGCATCACTGCCATGGCGTGGGGTGCAGAGGAGAAGCTGCTGGTGATTGGCACCCAGGATGGCATCGTGGCTGTGTGGGACATGGAAGAGCAGCATGTGATCCACATGCTAACTGGACACACAGGTGAGAGACTTGAGAAGTGGGGTTTGTGGTCAGTTTCCATAGTGAATAGCCAGTTCTCAGAGCCCCTTCCCCACAGATTCACTTCTCTGTATTGAAACCCTGGCCTTTGTTCCTGCATCGTTTAGCTATAGTTACATAGCAAACCATCCCCAAACACAGTAGTTTTAAACAAGCCATTTCTTTTTTTTTTTTTTAAGATGGGATCTCACTGTGCTGCCCAGGCTGGAGTGCAGTAGTGTGTTCATAACTCACTGCAGCCTCAAACTCCTGGCCCCAATTGATCCTCCTGCCTCAGCTTCCTGAGTAGCTGGGCCTACAAGAACTATACCCAGCTAATTTTTAAATTTTTAAATGTTTTTAGAGATGGGGGTCTTGCTGTGTTGCCCAGGCTGGTCTCAAACTCTTGGGGTCAAGTGATCCTCCCTCCTTAGCCTACCAAGGAGCTGGGATTACAAATTCGAGCCACAAACAAGCTATTTCTTTGGCTCACTTCCTGTGCGTTGGCAGTGCAGGCTGGGCTCAGCTGGGCGGTTTTCTGCTCTCAGCTGGACTTGCTCATATATCTGCAGTCAGTTAGTGGATCAGCTGGGAGCTGGCTGAATCTGAAACAACAATTCTGCTCCATGTGGTCTCTCATCATTCAGGATCCCTCAGATCTCTCATCCCCCGCAAAGGCAGGGTTTCAAGAAAACAAGTTGGGGCTCACAGGATCTCTTAAGCCTGGACTTGGACTTGGCACCCAGTCACATTCTCTTGACCAAAGGAATTTACAAGAACAGTCCAGTAAGGAAATAGGCTAAACAAGCTTCCTTCTTTCCTTCTTTCTTTTCTTTTTTTCTTTCTTTCTTTCTTCCAACAGGGTCTTGTGTTGTTGCCCAGGCTGAAGTGCAGTGGGACAATCTCAGCTCACTGCACCCTCAGCCTCCTGGGCTCAAGCAATCCTCCCACCTCAGCCTCTTGAGTAGCTGGGACTACAGGCATACACCGCCACACCTGGCTAATTTTTGTGTTTTTTGATAGAGACAGGGTCTCACTATGTTGCTCAGGCTGGTCTCAAGCTCCTGAGCTCAAGCAGTCCTTCTGCTTGTCCTTCCAAAGTGCTGGGATTATAGATGTGAGCCACCACACCAAGCCTAGGCTTCATTTTTTTATGGGAGGAGCTGCAAAGTAACATTTCCAAGGGTGTGGATTGGGAAGGGCAAAGAATTGTGGTCCTTTTTGCATTTGTCGACCTCAGATCCTAAGTAAGGTTGTTTTTTTCAACATAGTCCCTTAACAGATATGGCTTAGTTTTATAATCAATGGTTGAGTGCCTGCTGTGTACCAGACCCTGTTCTAGATGCTGAGGAGAGATAGACCAAGGTCAGGACTAGGAAGGAAAACTATTCATTCTTGAAGACTAATGGAAGGGAAGGGAATGGGAGGGGAGGGGAGGGGAGGGGAGGGAAAAGGAAGGGAAGGGAGAGCAAAGACAGGCAGGACAAGGGCAGGCAGGGCAAGGGCAGGCAGGGCAAGGGTAGGCAGGGCAAGGGCAGGCAGGGCAAGGGCAGGCAGGGCAAGGGCAGGCAGGGCAAGGGAAGGCAAGGGTTCCCAAAGTACACTTCATAACTAGCTCCCCATTGCTCTTCTGCAGCTTGATGTACGTAAGACCTCATTGGCTAAGACTACAGTTGGGTGGGTGTGGTGGCTCATGTCTGTAATCCCAGGACTTTAGGAGGCTGAGGCAGGCAGATCATTTCAGCTCGGGAGTTTGAGACCAACTTGGGCAACATGGCGAAACCACGTCTCTACAAAAAATGCAAAGATTAGCCAGGCGTGGGG